AACTTAAGGAAAGTGTAAACACAGATGCACTAGCAGTGTAAACATGTATTTTACAGTGCAAGAAAGAGAACACCAGCCAATCTGAGATGAAGTACTAGATGTTGGAATGTGTCATTACAGGAAGTTGTGGAATGCGTCTATAAATAATGGAAAACAAGGCTGGACCGACAGCCTCCAAAACAATACAGAGAAACTGTCTCGTAAAACCAAAAAAAAAAAAAAAAAATAATAATGGAAAACAAGAATGGTCCAGAGATGTTCTAGATTTCTTTAAGTTTTTTTCTTCTACAAAACAAAGCACAGTCTCATGTAGCCCAGTCTAGCCTAGAACTTATGATCTTCTTGCTTCAGCTTCCCAGGTACCACAATTACAAGTGTGTGTCAACACACCTGGCAATATATTCTTCCTAAAGCTTTGATATGACAGTAGTTTATAAAGCAAGAGATTAACATAAAGCTTGGAGGATGCCTAAAAGTATTTTCATAATTATAATTTCCTTTTATTCCCACAACAGCCATGATAAGAACTTGATAGTGTCAATTTTATAGAGAAAAGGCTGATGGGAGAGGGTAGTTTGCTATTCACCGAGGAATAATAAAGACTGTACGGAGAGGTGGTGACTGTTGTGTTCTGTGCTCTTGTCCTCATGGCTCCTGTGTTTGTTGTGGCTGGTGGGCCTGATGTGAGGATTAGGATGGCAACCACCTGAGTGTGCAAAGTGTCTTGCCTCAGATTATTTTGCTATAGTTAATACATAAAATGCAATGTGTTGACACAAGGGAAATAACACACTTGGAATTTATGTATTTCTTTGTACTAATTGTACACAAGACACATATTTTTTCTTCCCAAGTTTGAATTCTTCCTCCCTGCAACAGAATACTAGAGAACATTTTGGATAATCTTGCAATGAAAGAAACAGTTTAGATTTCATCAAGTGTGGCTGTGTCTTGGCTCCTGTAGCAATGACTTTTCCTGTTCATTAAATTCAATCATCTCAGTGAAAACTGTGACTATCAACAGTGTGGTATGCTAAAAAAGGAACCAAAGACACGTATATGCTGAAGATCTTGTGGATGCTCTCCAATGCTCACCATTAACATCTTCCCAGTTAGAGATGTTCAAAGCCCTAGAAGCCACTTCAGTCTTGGTTTCTATGTCCTAATGAGAGAATGGAACTACACTATGAGTGGGTTTCCTTTTACTTCTCAGATTGCTTACTGTAGAACAAGAATCCATGCATGTCTTAGTGTAAGACAGGCTCAACAATGGGAAATGTAAACACTATTATAAAGCTTGGCATTAGAAGTTCTCACCTGAGTTCAGCAGACTAGACAATGAAGCCCATCATTTCTGAAGGATACATTTGAAATGCACCAGCTCTACTTAAGAAATTTGTATGTTTCTGCCACAATGTTGGCTGAGCCACTCCTTCCAAAATTCAGAAAGCTGAATGCTTCAATATCCAACACACACAGTTCTCCCTCCAGTTCAGGCATTGTAAAAATATCTATTTGACAAGTGTTCTTGTGGTCTTCTCATATGGGAATCATCCCATGATTATACTGAAGGATTTGACCCCCAAAGCTGAAAGTCCTCTAAAAAGCCACTTTCATCTTCACTTCAGGAGAAAAGAAAACAAACATCCTATTCTAGAAGAGGGCCAAGGGATCCATCTTGATGTTTGAATTCTGGCCACGGGCATGGAGGCTGAGCAAGCTCAAAGGGGCAGGTTTGCAGTCTTCTGGCATTGATTTATCTTGTTACTTTCTTTACAACTTAAAACCCCAACTTAAGGTAGTCTACAAAGTTCACTGAAAACTCCAAACACCACCTCTCTTGGGAAGCTTACTGGATCCAGACATTTTGGCTCCACTTGCAATGAACCCTTAAACACAGTACATACGAATGCAGATTCTATGGGATGATGGAACCTCACTAAGGAACAAGCTTGAATAGTTCAAAGGAAGCACATCCCTCATTCAGACAATGCAACAAAACAAATAATCAAGGGCAAATTGCCTTAATTAAAATCAACTGTTGAATAGGCACACAATTAGGAGATAAGAAACTAGAATGAATGACCAAATGTTAACATATTTGAAAACAAATATCCACTTACAAAAACAGAAATAATTCATTTTAGGAGGAAACAACATGTTACCAAAACATTCAGAAAGAAACAAAGCAGAGCAATATAATTGAAGAAGAAATAGAGAACACAGAAGAATTTAATATGATATTGCATAAGACCATACTTGGGAAGTTTCTAGTTAGAGAAGCTTTGCTGGCAGAGGTAAACTGAGGCTGTCTTTAGAATGTAGGGATTTTCCTTTTGCCTTTCTTATGGTGATAGATGGCATCTAAAAAGCCACCCTTTCCAACTCCATCCATAAGAACCTAACTTTCCTGGAATCCATTTCCTGGTCTGTCAGTGACTTCTTGCCTGGTAAAGCTCTTACAGAAGAACCCCAGCTGTTCCATGTAATATGTCCTCTTCAAGATTCACTCTGTGCACTGGAGAAATGGGTGAGTGGCTAAGAGCACTTGCTGCTCTTCCAGTGAACTTGAGACTGATTTCCAGCATCCATGTTGGACAGCCCACAACTCCTGCAACTCCAACTCCAGGGGATCCAAGGCTCTCTTCCAGCCTCCACAGGTACTGACATTCACACACACAAATACATACACATTCATAAAATTAAAAGTAAAAAAATATTCACTACCATATCTAATTATTGGAATCACATCTTTTCTCATGATAAAATACTTCTAGTGTACTTGAAGGATGAAAATTGTTGATTGTGGTTTTAGATGCAAAGGAGAATTTAATTTGGATGACAAAACTACAATCAGGAACTTTTGGATTTTCTTATATAAGTTGCAGCTCATTTCATGTAATACAGTTACATTCATAGCAGCACAGGGACTATGACGTGACACATGAAATTCAACACATAATCTAAGAAGGAAGTACTGATGGCAGTAACACCATCTGGTATGCAGTTGAAACTTCTCAGGTCCCCGTAGATTTCACAGCTCCCTGGTAAAGTAGATTTGGTATTGATAATCATATTTTACAGGAAAGAGAGATGAGAAGGAAAACAACCACTCCCCTCAACTTTACAGAGTGAATAGGCAACTGAACTGGGGCTCGTTGAGTCCTTAGCACCACTCCATTGTTAACAAAACATAAATGCAGAGGAACTGTGGCCATGGTGGTAACCACAGCCAACCATCACAGAATGTGGAGAGCAAAAATCATCCAATGTGGACTGATCACACACCACGGACTATGTACAATATGAGCTCATTTCATTATCACAGAAGGGCATGATGCATGGCTCTTGTATTAGTCAGCTTTCATGAACAATACAAGACACCTGAGAATTCTCAATGCAACTAACTTAGAAAGAGAAAAGGCTTATTTTTACCCACCCTTCAGTATGTTTTATGTAAAAATCTACTTCAGACCTTTGGCAATGGCAGCACATTGGAGCAGGAGAACATGACAGATCCAACTGCTCTGGCCACCTCATGAGCTGGAAGTGAGGTGAGACTAGCGTCCTACAATCCTATTGAGGGTATGTCCCCAGTGACTTAAGGACCTTCTACTGGCTCTGTATCCTTAAGGTTCCAGTAGTACCACCCTGGGAGCCAAAGCTTTACCAAATGGGCCTTTGGGGGACTTACTAAACCATAACAGATGTTATCTTGTGCTAGTATTAATGACTGTTAAACTCCACAGGGCAACAACCATTTTAGGATTGGTTTCTTTCCCTCATACACATTGCTAATATTTACAAAGAGCTGTCCAATAGAACTTACAATGTTGCCATATTTAGTAGCCACTCAAGAAAAATAGCTAGTGTAAAGGACTGAACATTCCATTTTGTTTAATTGTTATTATTTAAATGGCTACATGTCAACACATTGTAGCAAATACTAAGAACACTGCTTTGTACCACAGAGTCTAATAACTTGGTTCTATGAATGAATTTTATGAATGATATGTATTTGCATGTATACACACATATTTATGCATGCATGAGTGTGTACACCTAAACCTGTGTACACATGCATTTGTAAGCCAGAGGCTGATGTTGGTGTCTTCTTCAATTACTCTACATCTTATTTTTTGAATCAGGGTCTCTCACTGAACCTAGAGTTCGATATACTGGCTGGTCATCAAGCCCCAAAAATTCTCCTATCTTTATCCCTTTATGACCAATAGTAAAGTCAGTCACTCAACACTTGTTTTTTTTTGACCCCTATGAACCAAACTCAGGCCCTCATATTAAGTGGCAAGGCACTTTACCAACTGAGCAATCATCATAGTCGCATGAGATCTATTTTTCAGGTGGAATATAAACTGCTTTCACTAAAGCAATTTACATACTTTTTTCCCAATAGAATTAGTGACTATAGTTGTGCTGGATAGTTTTACGTCAACTTGATGCAAGCTAGGGTCATTAGATAGAAGAGAACTTCAATTGAGAAAATGCCTCTGTAAGATGGGGCTGTAGGGCATTTTCTTAATTAGAGACCCATGTAGGAGAGCCCAGCTCTTGTGGGTGGGGTCACCCCAGGCTAGTGTTCTTGGGGTCTATAAGAAAGCAGGCAAAGCAAGCCATGAGGGGCAAATTAGTAAGCAACACCCCTCCATGACCTCAGCATATGCTCCTGTCTCCAGGATCCTGCCCTGTTTGAGTCCCTGTCCCAACTTCCTTTAATGATAAACAATGACAAGGAAACAGCCTAATAAACCCTTTCTTCCATAAGTTTCTTTGGTCATGGTGTTTCATCACAGCAAAAGTAAACCTAACTAAGACAAATAATACAATAAAATTTAAATATTCAGAAGATAAAACCAAAATAGCAAGCCCAGTTTTCTTAAACTAACTGAATCTTTTTGCCATCCAAGACTTAGATCATTATCTGGGGCAAGAACAGCAACCAGCAGGATGTGGCTATGATTACAATGATGATCACATAGTACCTTTTTGACTTTGCTCTTCTTCTCGTAGGTTTCTGACAGGGGTTTTTTCTTCTGTTGAGTTGTGTCTTTGGAGAATAAATATTCAAATTCACTGGTGTCCCTAATATGAGGTTCTTCTAAGGAGTCCCATAAAGTTGGTGTGGCATCTTGGCTTGAAAGAGAAAGCATCAAATTAACTGTAGGAAATGAAGCAGGAAATAGTATAATATGATGAAATCTTTCTCTAATGTACTTGTACAAAAACGTACAGCCTGGTAAAGTCCAGATAAAGGTTTTTCATGTCACACATTTTAGAAGTCCAAATATGTAACAGGATATTTTAACCTACATCTTCATGCAAACATCCAAAAATGCATGATGGTTATTATTTCATGACAAGAGTCCTAGAGAAGTACCTTAGGACTAAAATTCTTGTGGGTGAGTTATGGGGCCATGTAAACTGCTCCTCTCTCAGCTGTGGCATCTCTAGCAGGCAAAAATACTATTACAGGGAGGCAGAAGGGAGAATCAATTCTATACACGGGCAAGCCATTTTATAAAATATATTGCATTTTACTTATTCATCATGTGCACATGCATGTATGGGTTGGTAAGTATGTGGGGGAAAGGATACACATGCCACGGCACACATGTGCAGGTCAGAGGACAATTTTGGTTTCCTCCTCCCACCACCCAGATCCCTGGAATCAAATTCGTGTTACCAGGCTTGGCTGCAAGCATCCGACCCCCCCAGAGCCATTTCACAGGCCCAAAGTTATTCTTCCAAGGATTGAAAATGGAGCATTAAGGTAAAGATGTGCCCCACTCTGAGGATTTTAAATACCGTTTTCAGGACTGAGTCAGTACACCTCAGTGCAGTCACTTCAACACGTCAGCTGCTCATCTGACACACTGGATTTATAGTATCCCACAAGAGACAAGGCTGCCACACAAAACCATAAGATTTTGCCATACACCAGTCCCCCATGTGGATTCCAACTAAAGCAACCATAGGGAATTTGTGTTTTATTTTTCAGAAATAGTCTGTTATGAAGCAGTGAAGAAGCAGCTGCCGGAAATAAAGTATGTCAGAGCTATCTCCAAGATCTGGGGTGTGTGGACCTCTCTATAGGCTACCTCATTTGGAGTGTGTCATTTACTTTCTTCACATTGGTGAAACTGAAATGCTTTCTCAAGTTACTGTTAATGCCACAGAAAGAAAAAGTAGATTTCTTCTATATTGATTTTTCAAATACATCAGTCTGGCATGCATGATCCATATCTATTTTGTTTCAATTAAAACTAAGAGTAAAGCCACCTTCATATAACATACTCTATAATCTTCTTTACATATAATAAACCTATTTGTTACACTAGTAAATGATTTGGTACCAAATAAAGATTTTATACTCAAAGCAATCGTGCTCAGATGAAAGAACCTGAACGTGTTACATTGGCAGGCAGTGCCCATGCTGTGGCCTTAATACATCACAGAGGTGACAAGGCTGACACACCCACCAAGTCACTCACTCCTAATGTCCTGTTCATCTACTTTTCATTTGCTTTCAAAGTGAAGCACTAGATTTATGGTGTTTGCAGGACCAGCTCAACCAATGTAACTAATGAAAGCTTGAGCATTTGACTGTTTTCCATTAAAAAAAAAAGTGAGAAATTACAAGAGGAAAAAAAATCAATGATCCCCCCAACTCTCATTTACCCTTCCTTGAACAGTGGATGAAGGGCCTGTCCTCCCAGCATGAGGTTTTGTGATGCTATGTCTATGGCATTGGCTGCTCATGAGGTCTCTTGGGGGATGAAGGGAAGGCATGCAAGTGAGAAACAGGTGTGAGACAGTTACATGCACCGTCAGAACAGGCTAGTCCAGGGCCCACAGGTGGGATTCATCACTTGAGACTGACTGCACAATGAGTTGAGAGCTCTAATAAAGAAACATAACTCAAATATTCTGGGAAATCATCTCTTAGGAAATATCTAAATCTCGAATGAGAAATGAGATACTAGCACATTAGTGTTAGTGTTGGGAACTATTTTAGGATCATCTTTTTTTTTTTAAACCATTCATTTGGGAAATTATAAAGCACTTTTATCTGCATTAAATAAATACATCTAGAAATTTCCACAAGTAAACTCTTGACCCTTCGTTTTTGGCAAGAAGACTGGGGACAATATGAAATACATCATCAACTTTGTTCATCACATGCTTGGTTTGGTGGTACTTCCCCTGCTCTTAGAGTGGTTTCCAATTTTTTTTAATAATTTGTGTGAACTATATGTTATTTTGTTTAGCTATCTTGCCTTCCCAAAGCAAAATTTCACAAAAGCTTAAAAATGCACTGCCAATATTTTGAATGAGGAATAAGCTTTAAAATGTAGTCTTATTACTATTACCATTATACATTCTTTGCAAAAAAAATTCTAAACTAGAAAGTGGTCAAGAAACAAGTCAATATGTCTCTTTGTCCTTCTGAGAGACTCAGAAATGAAGCAATAAATCTAACTCTAACTTGTTTGGATGAAGGTTTCCAAGTCATCATGACTTTCTGCCTTGTAGGCCCAGCTCAATAGCATACACAAATGGAAGGCGCTCTCCACACCAGCTCTCTACACACAGTACTGTTTCTGGAGGTCAATAAGGAATACAGCTGTAAAAGAAGTCTTATGAACAGAATTCAAAAGGGGGGTAGTGGCGTTATATTTTGAGACCCTCTTCTGATCTAAACAATGAATAACTCAGCCATCTCAGTACTTTCATAACAAAATGAAAAGTATACCAATAACTGCTAAATATCCAGATTCAACAAGAAGCCCCTAGAGATTAGTGAAGCATACCTTTGAATTTATCTTCAGGAACATTTCCAGAAAGAATTAACCAAGGGTGGGAAGATCAGCCATGAATATGAATACGTCATCCCACAGGCTCTTGACCCAGATGGAATAAAAGGAAAAAGCTTCTAGTGTATTCTGTTTGTTTCCTTCCCTGCCAGGAGATGAGCTACCCCCCTGTGCCACACTCTCATTGGCACAATAAACTGAAACCTCTGAGACCATAAGCCAAAATAAATTATTTCACATTTTTCTCAGGTATTTGTCATAGTGATAAAAAAATGATCGACACCAGACCACAAGGCTGGTTATCAAAAACTAAGAAAGGGTATCATAAATGATATCGTAGCTATCCCCAGTGAGCCAATACTGCAGACACTGCTCCAACTTATAATTACTCAACTAATACAGTGGTGTAAGAGATGGCCCTAGCTTAGACATGGACTCTTCTCTAGTTACAAAATGGAACATTTACCTTGAAGAGGAATCTGATACTCAACACATTCCTTCTCCCAGAGGACCTGGCAAACACTACCTCCCCCTGACACTCTAAGCTTGTGTATCAAGGCATTCACCACACACATTATATTTAAGAATGGGTGTTACCCAATATAAATACTGAACTGTCAATAATAAAACACCACTTGGGAAGAATACCATGAATTTGTGACCTAGAATGGGTTAAGGAAAAGCTTACCTCTTATCATTTATTTGTATTCTAGTCCAATACAAAGGCTTCATGGGACAGCTGGGCTCAATGGCTGGTTTGCGTGGACACTGGCTAGAAGAAGAGCTGAGTCCAAAGGACAGTCCAGGAGGAGGTGGGGGTGCAAGTCCTGGGGGAGGAGGAGGAAGAGGAGGAGGAGGAAGGCCTCCACTGTTAGGAAGAGCCAGGGCACTGGGAAGTGGTGGTGGGGGAGGAGGTGGGGGAGGCCCAGCACTTGGAGGCAGGGGAGGTGGTGGAGGAGGTGGAGGAGGTGGTGGTGGTGGCCCGGCACTCATAGGTGACATGGGTGGTGCTGGTGGCAAAGGCCCAAGTCCAGTGGGGAGAGGGGGAGGCGGAGGAATGGGAGGCGGGGGAAGAGAAGGCGTGGGAGGTGGAGGTGATATCTTCTGTTGACTAGATGAGATGCCCTCCACTGTCTGAAGTGGTGCATGGATGTCTTTGCTGTCTTTTGTGGGAGAGAGCTGGGTTAATGAGATATTCAGCTTCTTGGGTACTATCTGGTTGCTTCTAGCTGTCTTGTTTTCACTCTCACAGGTCTTGAGAAATGTCTCTCTGTCTGTCTGGATGCACACATTTCTGAAGGCCTTTGGGGGACCGTCGTCATCAGTGGAGATGCATGCGTCTCTCATCTCTTCACGTCCTCCTCCCCAGCGGTGGTCTAACTGTTGCTTGAGATTTTCAATGGTTTCTTCAAGTCTTGCTGTAATTAATGCATGCTCACCCCGCATGTGAAATGTCTTAAGTTCAAACTGAGCCTGCAAGGAAAAAAATTAATAGGAAAGTAATGGTTTAATGATAGCAAACCCCTAAAAGGCATTCAACAGTACCATGAATGTGTGAACGTGCCCTGTAAAGCACTGGTCCTCAGCCTTCCTCACGCTGCAACCCTTTAATAAAATTCCTCATGTTGTATCGACACCCAACCATAAAATTATTTTCATTGCAACTTCATAACCTGTAATTTGGCTATTGTAATGAATTGCAATGTAAATATTTTTGGAGACAGAGGTGTGTCAAAGGGGTCACGACCCAAAGGTTGGGTACCACTGTCTTAAAGAATGGCCCACATAATGCAGATAAATGGAGACATTTGTTCAAAAATCCAAAAAGTTACAAATCTTCATTTCAGAATTTTCCAGACATCTAAACATGTAGGGGCTATTGGGTAATTTTACCCTGTCTAAGCTTATGGGAGATTACTGATCCTGAGTTAAAGTTTACAGCAAATCTTCTACTTAAGAACTTCCACTCAATTTTAATATCAAATGCAGAGGAAATTAACGTAATAGAGCTTTGGACAAGATTGAATGTAGCTTTTGTAGCTTTTGGTGTGGACTGTGAAAAAGAAGTGTGGGGGTGGGGGAAGGCCATCCAGAGCTTGTGCCTGTGTGGGGCACCGTTATCTAAGTTCTTTAGAGTCTCCCCATCAGCTCTCCCTGCAGCACTGCTGCAGAAGCAGCAGGCAAGGGGAAGAGCAAGGACGCTTTTATTGTCTGGCTGTTTTTAAGTTTCCAGATGAAAGCAGACCAGTGTCACTGTTTGGGTCTATATCTCACTGCTGGCCCTCGTCCAGATTATTAGCTCCACCGGATGACATCAGTGGAATACTGTCTCTATTTCTGTACCCCAGCAATGAGCACAGCATTGGAAAGGAAGATGGATAAAATCGAGGAAACAGTTATACACACACTCCCTGTCTCAAGAGCCTTGCTTAATGGCTAATCAAGGCTTTTTTGCTGTAACCTCAGTTCACAGATACCTAGAATAACAGCTACAACAATAATAGGGTATAAGCCTTTACATTAAATTGTTAAAGAAATGTGTTTTATGACCTAGTCAGCAGGTTCAATAAAAAGGAAAGGTTTTCTGCCTTCACTGAGATACATTTTAACTATTTTTTACTAGGTTCAAATTTTCCTATTATTGATTCTGACAAATCAATCCCCAAACATCAGGAGAACTTAGAGACAAACATTTCTGATGGAAAATCTTCCCATTCTTAAACACCATAGACTTGGGAAAACTGGGAAAGCAGCAGAGATATCAGTTTACTAAAATAAGCAGCACAGTGGATGGGTTAAGAGCCAGAGTCTGGATTCACATTGTCTATTCCATGTCTAAACTTGGCTGTTCTCTAGGTCTGTGGCCTTAGTCTAGCTGTTTCCTCAGTTGTAAAGTGGGGATAACAGTGAGCCATTTCCTGTTTCATTTGTTTGTTTGTTTTTAATGAAAAACGAGGTGCTTCGTGTAAATCAGGAAACTTCCATTGGTGTTAATAATGATAACACTAGACTAAGAGGTTCATAAATTCTTATTCTTGGGTTTTTTTTCAAATAACAGCTCTGGTGATGAAGGCACAAAACTAGGAAAAGATGAAGCCATCAATATGAACAACGTATCACAAATTCAAAAGTGTGCACCATTTTAAAGTGTTCTACTACTAAGTACGTACTAAGTACATTTCAACCAACTGAGTAGTTTATAGTACCTTTGTTCCGGCATCATTCCAGATCCATCATTTCTCTTTCCACCTCTTCTACATCCTACTAAGATTCCTACTGGAATTATGCACCAACATTTTATTTTAATTTCTGTGACTACTTTATTTTTGTCACTACAAAATAACTATATTGGTGTTCCTCAGTTAACCTATTTTCAAGACAAGTTTTTGTATTGCTTTGTATTGACAAGTATTGCTAAGTCAGTCAGTACTGACCAGTCAAGAAACGACTTAAGACATCAATCTCTTACAGATATGAAGACAAACATTCTCTGAAGAAATTTCTGCTTATAAGTTAATTGAGTGACTAGTGCAACGTTCTATCTATCCTGCTCCATGTTTCAAGAGTATCCTTTAAATCCATCTAGCTGTCAGGCTTTTCCTCACCCGCCTCCTTCCTTCACAGCAGAGCTGTCAACCAATGTTTGCTGAGTCCACTTTCTCGTCTGTTTACTTGTAGCCAAATTACAGTTGGCTTCTGTCCACTGTTCTATGAGAACTTGTGGGATTTAGTCGGCATTTTTCAGTGGATTTCCCCTGTCCTCTCTATTTGTGTTGACTGCAGCTGGTGTCTTGAAACTGAACTTCCCTGGAATCCTAATTCTAACCCATACTCTTCCCATCTAGGTATTTTTCCTCCTACCTCTCTGCCCTCTCCAGTCAACCTGGGACTCCTTTCCTCTTCATTCCTCAGATGCTGGTCTGCAAAGCACCTTGTACTCTCACACTGTACTCTCTATATATAATGTTTTCTCTATTCATATGACAAATGAAATGTTCTCAATGATGTATTGGCAACTTCTAAATTGGTACCTTGAGACTGTGATTCCAACTATCCTTTAGATTAATAAACCTGCATATTTAATCAACTACCTCAGACTACATAAGCCTGAAACAGAGTTCACTAGTGGCAAACTCCAGTTTGTTTTTCCTCTGAAATTTCTCTTATGTCATCTGGCGTAGCCTGTGCACCATGTGGGCCCCTTGCTGTCACTCAGTTTCTGATACGGTCCTTTGTATTCCATATCAGAAATATTCCATATCAGAATTAGGTCCCATGCCACCTAAGCCTTTTGCTTGCGCCTCCCATCCTTTAAATCAGGGCAGTGGTTAAAAATCTACCTGGTTTTATTTGCTTGTTTTATGTTTTGTTTTAAACTTCGATTTAGCCAACTCTGATTCCAGTAAGATTTCTCTCAGAAACAAATTCATGTGTTCTATTCCTCAAGACCCCTCAACACTTAACTACTACTTACAGACCTGAATGGAACAATTAGCACAGATAGCACAGATCGCTGCATTGATGGCTTTTCTGCCTCATTTGTATAGTTTGGAACCCTGCCCTTGCTAAGTAAGATGTCCTATGGATTCCACGTTCTTTTCTTGCCTATCCCAGAACCATACCCTTTCATGAAAATAGTGTCCTCTCTGGACTCCTTTTCTTTGCAACAAACACCCAAGAAAAGATTACCAAGAGCAGATTAATCAGTGTAGATTCCATAAGTGGATTCTATATAAGTTGTACTCATTGGCATGGATAAATAAGAAGGAAAACAATGGATTCTTAGGCACTCCACACCAACATGATGAGGTTATGATGAGATATCCTACTGATCACTAAGATTAATGCTTACCCCCCTTATCCACAAACAAAAACTGAACCTATGTCATCACTACTCAATAATCTCTTTTGTCTAGGTAGAAAGCCCCTCACTTGGGCCATCAATTTCACACTAATTATTTCAAATGTATCTGGTTGTACTACATACCAAGCATCTCAGATCCAGGCACACCAGAAAATGAGCTTTTTGGAAAGCTTTTTTTTAAATCTATTTTTACTCTCCTTACTACTTCTCAGCACATGCTTTTTCCTCTTCCTTGTATAGGCTCATTTCTAGGGAGAAGAGAAGTGATTTTGTGGCTGGAGTTCAGAGTAGAACTTTGCTTGATAATCATGTAATTATTCTAAGATCTGTTTTTTTTTTATAAACCACCAAGGCCCAGGCCTCAGAACCCCCAGCTACAAGTAAATAGGATATAGTGCTTCTATAACTTGTGCACTCTCCTTTACTTGAACAATGAACCCACAAGAGTCTGTTTATCCATACCTATTTCCTTCAAACTCACAGCCATCAACAAGGAAATTACAATTAATTCAAGCTGCTTTCTTCAACTTTATTTCTGTTAGTCCAAGGGATGTTCCCAAAGTTCTCTAGAGAGCTTTGTAGAAGATACTGATGAGGCCCATTCCTGCAGACTTTCCCTTGTACCAATGGTGTTAAGATTCCCTAAGAGGTTTGGCTGGGATCCAGAGCAGAAGGCCACAGTGATTGTTCATCTTTATTCTGATTTAACATAGCAGCTGAGATAATATGACACCATGGTATCAGGGCCTTCTTACGGTCTTTCCTCATTCTGGCATGTCCCGGCAAATAAGGAATTTCTTCATTATCCAATGTGAGAAAGAATAGCAGTTTTACCCAGCATGCACTAAATTCTTTACATGGTAGTTGTTATTCATGCAAACTTGATCTCTGCCTATTTTTTTCAGACACTTCCCTAAGCTGCACTTGAATGCATGCTCACTCTCATATACCACTTGCTTACATGCTGCCACTCTCTGAAAGCCCTAGGAAAAACTCAAGCTCAGCTGAACTTTCCTTGGTTCTTCTAGACACAAAGTTTCCATTGTCTGTATTGCCAAAGAACTTTCTAGGTTCGAATTGTGTGATAGTCATTTATGATTATCTTCTTTGAAAATCTAAAGGCTCCAGGCAGTTGAGAACCACACCTTATGCATGTTTAAACTTCCAGAACATTACATAGCACTTGGCTAGTTAAGTATCCACAAATGTTAAGTGAGCTGAATTGAATGATTGATTCACCTGTAAGTATGAAGTCTTCCTTGAGCCTCTGTACTACCTATCCAACTATCAATGAAGCTTCAGTAAATAAGCATGAGGTTCTCTTTGTATGTATGGAAGTCCTATACACAGCATAAACTGCAAGACCTCAGAGTTGTCATTTTTCAGCCATCACATACAGATTGATGCAGACATTTTTTCATGCATCCCCCTTCCATCAGAGCCCTCCTCTTTTCCTCACCTCTTTGTGTCTATGGACTGTAGCTTGGTTATCATTTACTTAATAGCTAATATCTACTTATAAGTAAATACATACCATGTATGTCTTTCTGGTCTGGTTTACCTCACTCAGGATAATTTTTTTCTAGTTCCACCTATTTGCATGCAAATT